ATTGTCCCACTCATTGTCAGCAACTGTTGGTTTAGCAGGAATAAATTTCGTCCTTTGAGAGGAGCTTTGACGGAAATAAACAGGCATCCTCTTGATAACAAAATATAACAACTTAGATCTGTTGCAATTCCATGAACTTCAGAGGAGGAGGTGGAGAATGTACCCAAGCGCATTGTTTGGATCTTGCGCTTGATATTGCCTTAATCAAAATTTGAAATACTTGCAGAGGTTTTAAATAGCACATGAAATCGCTTTTTTAAATTACCCATTTTTAATAAAAATTGAATAATGCACTTTTAATGGGAATCGGAACAAGTTGAGGTGTTAAAGAGTCCTGAACGATCCACAAATATGGTTGACCCAATCCTACCAGCTCTAAGTGCATCATTTTGGGATTCCTTGTGGTGCACACAATAAAGGCGGCTGTCAAAGAGGACCAACTGGGACGTCATTAAGTTGTAATGCTACTTTCCAATTGACTCAACAAGAAATATGAGTTTTTTTAGCAAACAAAGCCTTGGGTGGAACTGTGAGTAGTAGTGGATTAAAGCTCAAGGCAAGTTGTTGGGATAGCAATTGGGACGGGAATGTTGCTCCCTTCCATCCCCAAAAGGCAACCCTTTTCATCCACTACGATTACACATATGCAATGGTGTTACAGAAGTTGACCTCATACAGACTGCGCCTTCTGGTGGAGAAGCGTTGCCTCCAAGTGCTCCTGCACCCACCATCACTGACGTCTCTTTTGCACGTCTTCACCTTGTGATGGCTAGAAAGTCAAGCCCACCGTGCCAACACTCACTTAGCGGATCAGAGGCCTCAGGTTGTTGGGTCGAAATTCCCTTTCTGTAATGGAGATGGAGTAGGAGGAGGAGGATGAGGAGAAGGAGAGTATGTGGGCAGAAATGATGTAGTGGCAGATGAAAAATCCACGAATTTGGCGAAGAGACTAAACACGTTGCCTCATTCCTTTTTAACCAGGCTGAGATTGTTAATATAAACAAATCGCTTGATACTAGTCTTGCATTAACAAAGGTGATTTAGGTCATCACATATAAAGTTCACATGATGTTAGTCTTTCTTCTGCAGAGCTCCTTCTCATGAAAAGACAAAAGTTGTCAGAATTTTTTTAAGCTTCCAATAAAGCGCCTTTTAAAGGCTGCAATGGATGCGACATCCTTCGTTTTCCAATTCACATGCCAACTACTGTGCCTCAGGTGGGAGACCAAATCGTTCCATCAAACACTACGAATTGGCATTGTTTAAGGGAATTCCCTACAACAAAGCTAAGGAACATTAACAAAATCAAACAAATTAAGGCGTAATTTAGTCATCGTAACCAGTTGAAAGCCCTTCAAGCACGAATTTAAGTCGATTATGTCCATCTTTGTTCTACGGATGTAATGACACCGCCCATTTGCCACACTTTTGCTATGAAGCAAATTTTCATTTTATGCGTGGCTAATTGGTCTTTCTTAAAAGGCATTTGAAATGCTCGCCTCGGTCACTGGCTCCAGTTTCGGTGGGAAGCTTTCCATATTTGCTGTCAACGAAAAAGATCCACACCTGTTTGTGCGGATGCAGATGCATCAGACTATCCAGCTTACCCAGAATCTTGAAAACACAATCACACGTGGCGTTTCATTTGACAGCACAAAAACATCAAAGGTCAGTCAAATGTATTTCTAACCAATGTTAAGGGAAGAGTTGACAAAGGATGGAAGAGCATTAAAAAATATATAAATCTGTAAGGACATTTTTATTGGTGTGTGACTTATCGTGGCTAAAGTATTATCATGCGAGAAGGATCGTTCAAAGAACGCCGAAACCCTGATCATTGTGGAAGAAAAGGGCACCTTACACCGACAGCAAACAACGAAGTTTATGCAATGCATTGCCCTCTCACATCACACGCCAGCCTCAGTCTTCATTTGGTAGTCAAACAAACCTCCTATGACCAGTCACTTAGCCTTATGGGACTTCTTGTACAATTTTTTTCATTTCGGAGAGGTTTCCCTTTAAGTGGTGCCAAACATTTCTACGCATATTAATTTGAGCAACCCTTTGGCTGCTTTGTCTTTAAAGTCACTTTGCAGATACTGGGAGGCACAGAACACCGCAACATTCGGTATTGAAGACGCTCACCTTTCGTAAAATGTTAGAGGAGCATTATCTAGAAGCCATTGTTGGAATCAAGGCACTTAAGCACAATCTCACAATCGTGTTCTGGTGGCTGTGCTACTGTTGCAAATACGTGTTCAGTGACTTGCAATTTCCTCTCCACACTCCTCCACTCAGAGGTCAAGGCTCGCGCTCTCATTGGTCAAACTCGACTCGCCCACCCGAACCACCATCAAACAGACCAAACGAGAGTTCACTACTTCAGTCCTAATCACTTCCAATCTCTCCAACACCTCCTGTCCTAACACCAATGGACACTTGCAACACCTCCACATCAAAAGCCAACGAACATTCACCAACAGAGACCAATCCACGCCAAACAATGTCAGACACTGCTGCTCCATTGCACCACCCTTCTCCTCAAGCGCCCACTCAAGTGACCGCCAGTGAGGCCACACCAGATCGCCACACTGGAAGCCCATCTGCCTCAACCTCCGTCAACGAGACGCCTCCAATTTGCGACACGATTACGACAAACCTCAACGCCTCCGAGACATCCGATGTCATCATCTACCTCATCACCTTCTTCCAACGAATCTCCATCCTACAGCAAATAATAGCCTCCTTGATCCACGCCCTCGTGACCGGCAAGAGGGAGGCTGTGACGAGTCTCAAGGAGGAGTGTGTCAAATTGGTCAGATCCGCCTCCGAGGTCCTCAACGCCGCGTGTAGAAGCAGTACCGGATTGTCCAACCCCGTGGCTACCGTCGAGGAGGAGGAGCACAATGCACCTCCTCGCAGTGCCTCCCCTAGCACATCGACTCAACTGACGGAGACTCGCAACCCCACCGACTCATCGTCCCACATCTCTTAGAGTCGCCATCGCGAGGCATCGCATCAAGTGACCGCTCTTACCATCCCATTGCTTTGCATGCATTGGCACACGATTTGCAAGTATTTATTGTGCCCCTCGATTTGT